GCCTGGCGAGGGATAAATATAAATACACGGATATATCTCTGATCACCTGGTCCGTAGATCTTGAGTGAATTATCCGACCGATACCCAAAGATCGATAAGATTGATAAGGGGGGATATCCCTCTTATATGTTTTCCCAGGCTGAGGCTTTATCCCTACGAACACAGGGATAAAGGTGTAACCTTTCGGAAATTGTCCGCATGGGCTGTGACTGAGTTGAAAGGTAACATAACGATCGTCCCAAATTTAGTATTTAGAGTAACTTATGTCACGTGCAATAATTTTAAAAATACAACTTTCGATTTCAAAAAATTCGTTAATATTATCTGTAACCAACGATATGATTTATACTTATTTATTGCCAAATCAGCGATTCTACCTTCTAAGCACTTCCGTATGCATCCATATAACTCCATGACTTTCTTGCAAACTTTCGAATTGTTTTAATGGGAACACTATTAAGTACATCTGGAACTATTCTCAACAAATCATCATATTTATAATTCTTGTTTCCCGTTTTGCATGTCTCCAGTATCTTTCAATGAAATTGTACCCACAGTGAAACCTTGGATATTTCTCAAATATATGGTTAGCGGTTCCTCCAATGCTAATTTCTGCTCTAAAAAATCAGGTTGACATGACCCAGGGAATAACTGTGATATGCCCTGTCTGAGTTAAAATGCTGGATGTAAGTTGTAAGAAACAGGCTTGGCTCATTACATAATTTCAGAATAGTCGTTTTAAAACCAATCAGTGTATAACAATTGATTCATCATACCATTAATAGCATATATTTATATTACACGGTTGTGCAATTTTGATTTGATTAATATTAATCTCTGCTACAATGAAAATTTATATCAATTTATAGCTTAGATTATCAAGAATATGAATGCAAATTTTTGGAATTCGGCCAAAATTTAAAAAATTGGTAATTAAAATCGCATTTATAAACAATAGACGATCGTCGTCGTTTGAGTTTGAGTTTCGAGAATTTTTAATTAAAATTTTCTAGAATATCAAAAGCTAAGCTACATTTTGATAATATTTATGTATAGTTAGTTATTATGTGAGTTTTTGCAGTGTAAAAAATACGTATGGTGTAAAATAAACAAGTAGTTGCATAGACGCATGCCCACCAATGATTTCGTAACAACAATAAATGTTGGATAATGAATGGGTAATGAATGGATGTATAGTAGGGCTTCTAATTCGAGTTAATTATTCGAATTAAAATTTTAATTCGCTTTATTCGAATTATTTGTTTTATTCGAATTATTTGTTTTATTTATTATTGGAATCTCGGGTTTGTTCATTCATTTTATTAGATTATTTAGAAATCATGGGTTGTTAAATTACTTAAATATTCAAACTATATATACAACAAGGTTTATTATTGATTTTATTATTATAAAAATTGGAATTTTCAAAAGGAATATCCTATATACAAATTAATTTCCTTATTCGAATTAATTTTCATATTCGAATTAATTTTCTTATACTTATTATTATTCGAATCAATTTTCCTATTCGAATTATTCGTTTTATTCGATTAAAATTTATTCGAATAAACTTTCAATGTAATTCGAATACTCAAATTCATAACGTATAAAGTGAATTCGAATAAACCTTATTCGAATAGAAGCACTAATGTATAGAATGGCCCACAGCCATGATTTCGTGTACTAACAGCCACCTGAATCACCAGATAAATGTAGATCTCATGTCAAGACTATTATTGACGACTTAAAATCGTTGAACTTTCCATTAAAAATATCTAAAAACTAAAGCAAATGCATGTTTTCTTGATTGTTCATTTCTGACCAATTAAAATTGCTAAAAAATTAATGAGCGTACACAAAAACCCAACATAAATATCAAAGAGTCCTTGCTAAAAAAAGTAACGTTTTCTTAAATAAAACCTTTTTTACTTTACTAAGTAGACCTGTACTTGATATCAAAATCTCTAAATTACAAAAACTTCGAAAGGTTTGGTATGGTATTAATGGAAACATTTAGCAAATAGTCCAAAAAAGCAAATTTTCAATCTACAATTATTTCAACGATTTTATCATCCTCAGGAATTTCATATACAATTTCTTCTTCTGGATTATTCAAGAATTTCTCAACAGACATCGGATTATCTAGGTTAAGAGTAGCAACAGCCTGATCTATTGTTGAATTGTTGGTGTTATCAGAGAGGTTAGTTAGATTAATACTGGTTCTGTCAGGAAGAATTTTGGTGTGATTCCAGCAGTTATGGATGGTTTCAGGCGTGACTTCACTCCACCCTTTAATAATATAATGTATTGCCTGCAATACATCCATTTTTAAGTCTTTTATATTTTTTCCTTCTTCAACTTGACTTAGGATCCAGTTGATATGTCTTTTGAAAGACATAATAATTCCAGCATCCATTGGCTGGATTTTGATGTGGTATTTGGAGGGAGGAAAGAATCTCAACATTTGGAAGAACTAAACCATCAATCTTATGACTTGGAAAATTATCAAGAAGCAGCAAGGCATGTGGATTTCTATGTTTCTTAGCAACCTCTTGGTCAAATTCCCGAAGCCAGTCTTGGAAAATGGTTGTTAACATTCAAGCCTTAGAATTACTACGATATGTCATTTGTAAGTTATTTATGTTAACATTATTAAAGCATCATGGTTTTTTATACTTTGATGTTTGTATGTTTGTAATCGATATAGAATATAAATGGGTTTCTATTACCAATTGTTTGACTTCTTTGGCAAAAGTACTTCATGATATAATTTTGGTATTGTTGAAGTTTAATTTTATACACCAAAAAGCTGTTAATTACGTAGAACTAAAACCTGAATGTGATTCTAATTATTTTAATTTAATGTCATAAAACAACAAGTCGCGATGGGTTCAGACAAAATCCTTTATCCGAATTTTATTAGATGGTTTTTTACTTTTACTTAATATGCCAACCGTGTTGTTTTACGTTTTCGAGTAATTCAAGGTCAAAGTGTGAAAATTGCACTTTTCAAAAACAACACAAATCACGATGGGTCTAATCAAAATCTTTTGTTTGAGCTATTTCATACCCGTAAAGCAATTTTTGCTTGATGTTAATATGTAAGTCATTGAGCATTTCATGGTCGAAGTTTTACATGATGCTTTTTTTAAACATTTTTTTTTTTTAATAAAATTCTAAAATTCTTGTTTGTGTTGATATATAATAATACTATTTTAAATCTAAATCCAGTTATATGTAATAATATATATAGCATATATTGATTAAAATCAAAAGTTAAGTGAATTGTTCACTGATTCGTTCTAGGTACTCCAGAATATTATAGAAGAAAAGCTAGTTGTAATATTAAATTTTGAAAAATTTTACTGACAAAAAAAAAAAAAACATTTTGGATATATTAATATGTGGAAATTCGAAGTTGAGCTTTAGACATAGCACGTTTATTAGAATACTCCGAGCCGTATTTGCTCGAATTACCCGCTTGAAACAATTAAGAAAACATGCTATGTATAATTCTGGAAAATGAGTTAGTAGAAAACCAATCGAACAATAAAGCAGAAATTCAAAGAACTATTTGTTTTAAGAATTATTTGCATTCCTAGCTTGTAAAAGAGTAAACATTTCTAAATTATCTCCAATACTAATCACAATATTATGGTCTTTGATGGAATTGAGAAATTGAACAGAAATGAGGAGCATCTGACGATTGCCTGTGTGGACAAATAAAATAATGTAACTATTTATTAGTAATTTGTGGTTATTATGAAAGTATATAAATTAAATATCAAATTCAAATTTGAGGATAAACTCTATCTAAAAACAGTAACAAAATAAAACTCAATGCTGTGATGCTGGAAAGGCTTCAATACTTTGATATTAAATCTAGTTTAGAAGTATATTTTAATACGTTGGATGGAATTCCAAATTTTTTTATTATTCATTTCATGAATTCAAAACAGAAAATCAATAATTTCTAATATTTCTAATATAAACCTTATCCTTTTCATTATTGGAACATATGTATCAAGTATATTTTTACAATAGTGTCCGTCTATTTATGAAAGATAAAATTAAAAGATATACTTGTCCAAAGCAATATATTGGTAGTACAGGTGTGGCGTTATAAATTTGTACCACAGAATAATTTCACTGGTATATATGTATTCTTTCATCTGTTAAAAGTTTCAAGCTTACTGGGTTGCTTTAGATAATTATCTCATCAATGAAGTCAAGGCTGTTATTAAACGGAAGGCGTTCTTGAAGATAATTTTAATAATAATCTTTTCTTTTGAATTAATTATAACTGATTGATTTAATGATGGGTTTTGTTCTTTTAAATTTTGTTGATAATCCACACGCATTTATAACGCTAAAGCTGGTCATTAATTCTTGATTTTTCAGAATACAGCTTTTGATAAAATTGTGGCTTACAAGTTTATAATAATTAAATTTAATTAATTAATTTTATCGTTATTTTAGTTGGATTTTCTATTCTAATTGTACACCGATTGATTTGTTCACTCATACGGTAAATGATGACAGTTCTAATTCCAATAATGCTATCTATCACCCAATGTAAAAATAATTTTCATTCTCTCACTTTATAATCGTATCACATGTGAATCATCTATTGCTATCCATCATCTTTAAATACTTTTTAGATGATCAACAAACGATTTTTTTGATTGTTACGTACTATATAGCCGCCGGCTATGTAAAAATATTACATAATTGATAACAATTTTTTTTTCTCTGTTTGACAAAATAATAAACCAACCAATTAATTTATTTGTAATACCGTGATTCGTGTGACGTAATTAGTGAATGCTTGCCATATAAATAGGTTGAGAATTTTCGCAACTCTCTTTCTCAAAAATCGAATCTATAACACGAAAAATCCGAAACCCAAAATTTAAAAAAAAAATCAATTTAAATATTAATTAATTAATTAATTAAAATTTAATTATAATCAATTATACATATACAAAATCATTAGAAATATGGCATCAAAGTTACCATTAGATGTTCTCCAAATAATATTCACATTCATTCGTAAAAGTGAAAAAAAGAAACTTAAAGCTATAGGAAATTTGCATTCTTGTCTATTAGTCAACCGACAATGGTGTGAAGCAACAATACCATTATTGTGGCGTAATTCATTTTATTATTTCGAAAGAGGCAATGAAAAACTAATTGACGTTTACATATCATGTTTTAATGAAAAGGAACGTACGGAATTGGAAGAACAAGGCATAAAATTATCATTTACAAATATAAACAACTCTCTTCCTACGCCTACTTCACCACCACCATCACCACCACCATCATTGTCATCATCACGTTCTTCATCTTCTTCTCATAGTCATCATAATTGTTGTCATCAAACGATACAACAACTACAACAACCACAACAGCCAAGTTTTGATTATGCAAAGATGTTGAAAAGATTAGATTATGATAATTTTTGTCATTCAGTGGATAATTGGTGTGGTAAATTGATAAAACCACCATACAATGTAATTTCATTAATGATCAAAGCTCTGTTAAGATTGTTTTTGACTCATTCAGCTGTTTTAATACATTTGGTGATTGGTGAATGGACTTCGAGGAAATCTTCTGATTTTATATATTTAAAATTTACTGAGAAAGAATTCGAGTATTTGTTTGAACCTATAAGAAAATTAGAAATTCAAGGTGAATTTGTTAAAGACCGTTTATTGACGGGCTTGAAAGAACCATGTAAAAATATTGTAAGTATTTTTTTTTTATACACAAGACATGCATCTATTATATTATCTAAAGTTTATGAATTTATTTAGGAAAAATTATTTGTATATATAAAAGATGTTCCACCAAACTATGAGGAGGAATTGCACTCATTACAACAATTTGTCAAAGAACAACGTTGTTTAAAATCATTAAAAGTAGCCAATGTCGCATCGAATTTCCTCTTTCCAACAATAGCCACACAGGCCAATACTTTACGTTGTTTATATTTGTGGGGATTAAATTTCACAAACACGGACAATTACATAATACCATGGCATTTATTATTAAGGTTTAAAAATTTAGAAAAATTAAAATTTCGTAATTGTATTGGATTTGATCAACACATGAAAGATTCATTAATCAATGGTGACGTCAAAGAAATGGTGGTGGTTGAGAAGGATAAGAGTGGGAATGAAAATTTGATTGTGAATAGGAGTGGGAGTGAATATTATAATAAAAGTATTATAAATAGGATGGATATATCCAATAATAATAAAATTTATAATAATAATTATTGTTGCAATGGTAGTGGATATAATTATAACAATCATGATGATGTTAATAATCAACAAGTTTTTAAAAATTTAAAAATGATTGCAATAGTCGGACAATGTAAAACGTTGAATAATGAATATATATTTGAAGATGATATTAAAGAATTAATTGATTGGGGTGTTGGACAAGGTGCTGTTGTATTTCTTGGACACTTTTATAGTGCAGATGCATTTTTTAAAGTTGGTAGAACGATAGAAAGTAAGTATAATAGTTGATTGAATTTATTGATTTATTAATTAATTGGAATAATATTGATTTTTAATTTTTTTTTTAGAATCTTTACTAATTTGGGAGTGCTCTGATGATTTCTCCAAGATGTATAGAAAATTTTTATGTAATATAGCTCATTGGTCATGATATTATGTTACACACACATACATAGATGTATATATTAATTTTTTTATAATAAAAGAAAGGACTTAATAATAATAAATGCAAATTTATTAATCACCTTTGTGGTTATTTCTCAATAAAAATTGATGGAATGCATGTACTTTTTTATGAATGGCCATTACTATATACTTCAATTCAAAGGTATTTGTATATGATTTTGTACTTTAAAAGATGAAGACTATTATAAACTATTATAATAATAACAGAAAAAATAAAATGTCAAAATAATCACAATTGTGACTTTCATTATGGAATTTATAATGATTTCATCAAGAATGGCAAAAAACCACTCCCTTGTCAATTATACTTTATTTGGGGTGTGTATGGTCATTGGGTTCAGAAATTGCAACTGGTTGGAGTTAAAAGAGTTATTACAATTATAATTATAATAATAAATTTTCAAATTTTCTTTTTCATGATATACTGCTGCAAGATAATCGGTTTGTATTGAAAGTTGATCATCTTTACCCAACTTTTAGATGTTTCTCTTCCTCCTCCACTATTATTATTATTGTAACTTCTAACAGGCCAAACTTTTATTATAGCAGTTTGATTATTAAAAAACACTTTGGAGTTGATAACATTTGATTTATGATCAAAATAATTTTTAATTCTATTTACACATCCTTCACACTTGATTCCTTTAATTTTCATCACATAGACTTTCACTTCTTCTTCTGCTTGTTCTTGTATATTTTCTTGACTTGCTTGATTTTTTCCTAATCCTAATCCCGATCCTCCTCCTTCAAACATTCCTAATCCTAATCTTTCTCCTAATCCAAATCTTACTACTCCTCCTAATTTTCCTCCATCCACAAATTTGCTTTGATTATATAATGAAACTAATTCTGGTAAAAACGTTAAAAATATTACAATAGTAATAGATAGTAATTTAAAGGTTCTTTGCTTTGATCTTAATCCATATTTATAAAACAAACTAGTTATAAGTATTGCACTCATTGATCTGTTAGCACACTAAATCCTGCACATCCTATCAAAAACCAATTTAAAATCAATTGAATCAAACAACAACTTGACCCTAACAATCCGTTAATTATTGCAAATATATATTGATTATTGATAGGAGTTGATGCTAATGATAGTAATGAATATTTTTCGTCATTGTATATTGTATATCCCCACCCAAAAAAGAAAATTTTATTAATAAATATTTTTTTCCCGAAAAGTTCGATAGAGATCTACAGTGACATTTCACAGTGTTTTAGCATTAGACGATCAATGTATAAATTTTATTAATTAGCCACAAACCTTAATTTTACTCCTAGAAAACACCTCAAAACCATCTCTTTTTTGGCCATTACAGCTTACATTTTTTCCTGTGTACAGTCAAACTTCGTCACAGCGGATTTCTTGTTACAACAGATTTAAATATTGGTATTGGCCCCTTTTTTTATTAATAAATTTGTTCCACAACATTAACGGATTTTTGATGGGGTCTTTCTATATTAATATGGCTAGTCTCATCACAGCGGATTCACGTGACATGTAAATTATGAAATATCCAAATTACTATATAAAAATATATTAATAAACTGATAGATTATTTATCCGAATGTGTGCAAGTAACAAAATTTTCCAAGTTTCTAAAATAAAACAATTGATAATAAAGTCAATTAGATTATAAAGAATTTAAATCATTGAAAAGAAAAATGGAAAAAACTAATACAACCAAATATTATAACAAATAATTTTAATTTCCGCATGTATTCATTTTAGATTATTATTAAAAATTTTTTGCCGATTATCAATTTTGCCACAGCGGATTTCTTGTCACAACGGATTTTTTTGGCTGGTACTATCAATCCGCTGTGTCGAGGTTTGACTGTATTGGGTTAAATAAATTATCAAATTCCTATCATTATTCTTTCTTAGGTTTTTTGCCACATGAAGCTATTTTGCTTTACATAGAGAGACTCAATCAATATGAGAGAGATTTCAATTCCAGACCTGTGAAACCTCTGGTGTAACATTTTTGTGTACTATCCCAATGTTTGGGGGATAATCTACAAATATTTTATCTTGTATATATATATTTTAATGTAACGGTTGCACTATTCATCGTGTAATGTTACACCTTATATTCATATTTCCATTTATATATTTATGTATTACTTATGGCATCGAAACATTGGAAGGTTGGAAGGCTTGTACATCATCAATAAATATTGTCCAATCAAAAATTACTCACGTGATAAATTAAGGGCTAATAACTGCATTGGAAGAACATGACTTTTTTTTAAATGATTTTTAACTTGTGGTCTTTTGTTTGTAAAAGTATGTTTATGTAATTCTTCTGTGTCTAATCTTTCATAGCAGTCAATGCAAAACAGCATATGCATTGCATTTATTTTGTTTGTCTAATACTTTAATATATCTTGTCAGATGATGATTTTTTGGCTTTATCATAATTAATTTTGATGGGAATTTGAGAAAAAAATAAACTAATTAATTATTTTTATGAAATTTTTATTTTTCCTAGTTTAACTACATGTCAATTCAATGTTGCACATACATATTTTCTACATTCATCTTTTCACACTTCCCAAAAAAATTAGTTTAGTAAAATCCATGAATAAAGGCTTTTCTGCAATCAACAATTATTATATAGCAATAATCAATTGATAGTAAATACCTTTAATCCATTTTGAAAAACAGTTAAAAAAAAAAATGATAAAAAACAATTGGATAAAATTTTAGTTGGCTGAAAGTTAAATTTTAAATTTTAATTCTTGAATTTATTGACTGAAATGTTTCAAAGTCCGATTCCAATGCCTGTTGGAAGGCTTATGACTTCCAAACCTTCAAATGAACATCATTGCTTATCAAACCTGTATAGATATTAGTAAATGTTATTGTATTATTTATAGGTTTAACTTATACCATTGGGTAATAGTACAGATCACATTACTTGTAATACTCCAAGTAACAGGAGAGAACGTACTGGGAACACAAAAATTAACAGGAGGGAACACAAAATTTTAACCCATGCTATTTGTTGATTGACCAATTAAAATCACGAATTTGATAAACGTAGAAATAAA